CATAGGGTTGGAATCAACACACAGCAGACCCTCCTGTGGGTTTTCAGGGGCAGCGAGCGTGCGGGAGGAGACTGCCCATTCTCTCTTGGAGCAGCTGGTGGATTTGAGTGAGGTGCTTCGGCTCAATTTTATCTATTCATTGGGTAGGGTTTGGTTTTAGCTACTTTTTTTAATTTGACCTTTGCCTCCTATTGGTCCTTAATAGGACTTTCTGCTTCTCTTGAACTCATTAGTATTTGTTTTAACATTCTCTCCACCCAGTTTTGCCTCAATTTGCCTGATTTACTCAATTCTGATCCAAACGTCAGTGGTTAGCTGTTGTTGTGGTGTACCATTGAGTCTGAACTGATCCATAGCTGACCCTCTGGCAGGTTTTCAGAGGCAATTAATCAATCGCATGGGAGGAGACTGTCCAGCCCTCTCTCATGGAGCAGCGGATGGATTCGAACCTTATGCCTTCAGGACTGCTGCGCAGAGAGAGGTAAATTAACAGCAAAAGCCCAACAGGGCCTGGCAGCGCTGTAGAGTGGAAGGAGTGAGGCGGGACTTCTGCAGTCCTCCCTGACTCCACCCATCTCCTGCGGATGAAGAGGAAACCCTGCTCCCCAGCCTTTTAGAGGCCCCTGCTCACCAAGGCCTGCTCACTTCCTGTAGGTGACACAGAAACCCTGTCTTTGGGGTCTCCTCCTTGAGCCCAGCCACAACGGGCCGGCCCCCCTCAGTCTTCACCCAGGGCTGCCATCCCCAGGCCACTGGACAGATCCGCGCCTGTGCTCCCCTCTGCTCGCTTCTTCCCCTGGACTGGCCTCTCGCTGTCCCCTCTGTGCTTCCAGCCAGATACTTCCCTACTCAGCCATCCCCACAGCTGCATGCCCGGTCCCAGGACCTGTGAGGCTTCGGCACGGCGGCCTGGACAGAATGGCAGCTTGTAATGGACATTGCTGCTTATTTGCTAGTGTGAGAATGGGACTGGGCAAGTCTTTTCCAGAATCTCAAGGCAGGCAGGGAGTTAACACCTGAAGCTGACGGGGCTTAGCAGAGTCCCTCTGGTGCAGGAGACCTTTCTGGCTATTGTCCAGGAACTCTCACCAAAATGATTAAGTGAAACTATACACATATGGTGCTTCTTGGCACTAAGGAGATTGGGTACCTTCGGGTATATGTGGGGGTTGTGGTTGTTGTTAAGTGTCATCCTGTGACCCTATGAATGACAGATCTGAAGCCTATCCTATCCTGTACCATTTTCATCATCTCTGCCACACTTGAGCCCAATGTTAAAGTCACTGAGTCAATTCTCTTGTTGAGGGTCTTTCTCTTGCTTGCCCTCTACCTTTCCAAGCATGATATCCATTTCTAAGGAATGAAAACAACATGCCCAAAGTATGTGAGATGAAACTTTAACAGCACGGCCCTGAGGGGGCCGACGGAGCAAATACACTCTTGCCCACTGAAATTCCAGAAAGGTTCACCCTCCCTGAGGGAGTAGCTTGGAGAATTGACCACCCACAAGTCTGAGGGTCTCTAGGCTGAGAACCATGGGTATCTGGCAGCATCAAAGGGAAACAAAAACTGTCAAGGTCAAAGAAATGGTGTAAAATTGCTATTCTTTGCGGTAGATAGCGTGAATGGGTGAGCTGAGGAGAGAGGCTGAGTTCAACAACTTTGGACAATTTGGCCTAATTTTATACAGGAAAATTTACCATGGAAAGGACTTCCTGTGTGGTCAGTGGCCACTAAAGATTTTCAGAACTCAAACTCTCGTGTGGGTGGACCCCTGAACAGCCTAAACTCTTGCCAGGATAGAAGAAGGTGTTGAAACAAACACTGGTCTGACTGATGCTGGAAGGTACAGCAATAGTGAGGGGGGCACGACTAGACGGTCTTCCGTTGTGCTGGACGCAGGGCTGCGAGGAGCTGAAATTGGATGGCAAATATGCTAAGGCCTGAGAAGTATTAGGATTTAGACCAAAAGAAACCACAACATTCCATTTTGCTTCATTTATTTATAAGTTTCATTTAAAAAAAAGTTTCATTTAAATATCTCTAAAGGTTAGAAAATCAGAGTCAAATACAAACATTGGTGTGTCGCTTAAAATACAAATGTCAGTAAATTATTAAAGAACATGGTTAAAACTTTTCCAAGTAGATACTTGATAATAAATATTTTCTAGGATGTAAGTGAAACAGCAGGGGCCTGGGGTGTAAAGGTCTGAGCCTCAGCCCTTCAAAGCATGTGTTTTACACAGTGATATGCACCCCAGCTCCCATCAGACAGCACCAGCAGCCTTTCTGCCCCTGATCTAAAGGCCCCTCAGGGCTTCTGCCATCACAGGAAGAAGTCACATTCAGAGATAAATTCAGGATGAAGGAAAGCTCAGCTTCAAGCCACTATGGTTTAACCCGGGTTAAAGGCTTAATCTGGTTCAGGATTCCCAAAAGCTGTCAGAGGCAGACAAGTCATCATGACAGACAGAAAAGCCAAGTCACATGCATTCTGCGCACATTTCTCTTCCAAGTAATTATACAGGTCTTTAATTCGTGTCCAAGCTGCATGCACTTCATTTCTGCACAAAAGGTACCAATTCAAGTGTGTCTAAAGACAGAATGGGTTTACATAGTAACATACCTCAAAACTTTTATTTCATTATAATAAATTAGCTTTATTGTCACAAATAACATTTCAGAAAGGTGGATCAAAGTATCTTGATCTTGGGGAGCTCTGGTGGCCTAGTGGCAAGGAGCTGCAACTACAATCCCAGAGGCACACGGTTCGAATCCACCAGATGCTCTGCCGAGAAAAGGAGGGAAAATCTCCTCCTGTACCAGTCAGATCTGATTTGACGGTACACTCACACACAAAAAAAAAAAAGTATCTTGATCTTGATCTAGCAAAAAAATCTCAATTTGGAATTAATGCCACCTTCTCTATCCATTCTGATCCAGAAGCAAAGCTGGAGCATTCATATATAAAACAGCTATTTTTAAATTACCAAAGGGAATGACAAATGCTTTGGATGTGCCCACAAGAGTCACTAACCCCTTCTCAAATTCCAGTGTCCTTAAGCAATAGCTCATGCGCCTCGGGACACAGCAGAATGCTGGTTTAACCAGGACGTGGTGCTCCCTGGAGCATTCTGGGAAGAGTGAAGTTCCCAGTGAGAAAAAGCAGACAATAACCCAGCCTTTCTTCTCTCTCAATAGATCAACCAGAACACGGGAATCTATCAGGCAGAGGAAAAACAGACACACTGGTAGAAGCAGGTGGAACGCCTGGATCCTCTCAGCGGTTCCACAAACTACCGAATTAAGATATATTTATGACCTATGTTAGGTTGCAAAACAGGACTCAGACACTGAAGAATACAGGAGGTCGGAGGACGAGTGGAGTACCTCAATTTTAGCAATAAACTTTCATGCTAGCAGAATAATTTACATTTTATTGAGTAAAGATCAAGGAGATCAGAAGGAATACTGATGGCTTCAGAACAAGACAGGCTTGAGCACCCTAAGAAAAATGTCTTCGATGGAGTCACATGCACAGGGAAATGTCCCCAAGTGAGACACATCCCAGCACTTACTGAAGGTCATCTGGGACACACAAAAATGAGGTGGCCACACCTAGTTATTTGCTGTTCTTTGTGGTAGATAGCGTAAGGTGAGCTGAAGGGAAAGACTAATTTTTAATATAATTCAACAACATTGGACAATTTGGCCTAATTTTGTACAGGAAAGTTTTGTGGGATTTTATTTGTGTTTCCATTTAGGGACATATTCCTGATGTTTAAATGCCACAGGCTCTCATAAGATGAAATTCACCCCCTCAGTATCCAAATGGCTTAATGACTGTGTAGCCCACAGAAAACATAAGTTTTATTTTTTTTGAGAAAACATATGCTTTATTTTTTTCGCCCTAATTAGTAGACTAAATTTGGCCTAGTTCCTGAGAGGAGCAATGGCAATTTATTGTCCCATCGGGGAAAGGTTCCCTTTTCTCTCTACAAACTCAGGCTGAAGCCTCAATTCACAATCAGTTGGGCAACCTGTCCTGTCTACATGACTATCATAACTACCATATGTGATCACCTTTTTCTCATTCCCAGAGACTGTTTGCAGAGAGGGTCTGTGAAAGATTCCCTCAGGTTGGTACTACAAAGTCAGCCTCAGGCCAAGAGGACCAGCATAACCAGAGGTAGAAAGACTGTTAGGTGGAGTCAATGGGAGGACTTTTGAGAGGCATAATCAGAATGGTTTAGTGCTCAGAACAGCCTCTCAGAAGCTAAGCCCAGGAGGAAATTCTACTAATGCAGGAAAGGCCAGGAGTTAAGGCTTAGTAGTGAGTTACGTCCCAGTGTGGCTCAGTTTCAAGGGATGGGACTCAGCCAAGAAGACGAAAACAGCATGAGTAGGTTCAGGTGATCCAGAGCCTTAGACCCTCTCCCTCTCGGCAGCCAGCCAAGACCAGTGGTTCCTAAGCATGCTTAAAACAGGCAACCGACCTGTGTGCAAGTTTTAAAATAAACTAAAACAGAACTCGAATGCAGCATTGCAAAACGTTCTTAGCACGCGCGCGCGCGCGCGCACACACACACACACACACACACACACACACACACTATTAAAATATTGCATAGAAAAGTGTGCTGTGGTAAGATTTGTAAACTCAGGCCTAAGTCATTAAAACACTAAAGCCTGCCTTTAAAGTCTCGAAGTCCATGATTGCGGAGTTCAGGTTTGTGCAGGTCTTGCAGCAAGACCTCAGAAGTTTCTGAAGCTCTTTGTTCTTAAAATCATGATTTATTCAGGTAAGTAAACACGGTTTAACAAAATGTCTTCATGAAAGGACTAGGGCTTCATGACCCCAGGGCAAGCCCATGGTCTCCGTGCTCAGCCCTCACCACTCAGAGGCTGGACCCAAACCTGCAGGGGCACCAAACGGCTGTTTTTAAATCTAGGTTCAGCTGTTTTCCTAACGTTCACCGTGGCAGTGGGATGACAGGCCCCTAATCCCCCTTGTAATGCGCATCAATTGAGTCTGAGTTAAAATAGACCACAGTGACAGTGATGTCGTCCCGGTACATCCGCGCCACGTCCTCGGGCAACGTCAGCATGGCTGTCAGCCGCTCTGGCTCCATCTCCCCATACTCGTTGCTCCCGACGGCGTGTCTGATCAGGTGCGTGGCTGCATTGTGGTCGACAGCGTGGAGCCCCATGTTGGTGGATGTCTGGGCCAGGTCAGGCTTGTGCCACCCGGCCTTGGCCAGGTGTTCCACCACCAGCCTCACTACAGCTTCATTGTCCAGCACATCCCACAGACCATCGGTGGCCAGCACGAGGAACTTATCCTGGGGCCTCAGCCTGTGGTACGTGACCTCGGGCTCAGCAGTCAGGTAGGGTGGAGTATAGTAGTGTGGAGGGGTGAAGTGGTAAATGTTGAGGGCCTCAGTGTCAAAGCCCTGCTCCAGGATGCTGCGCTGGAGCTCTTTACTCCACTTGAGCTGGACATCCCCAAAGGCTCTGCAGGGCATGAGGACACCCAGCAGCCTGTCATCCATGATGACTGTCCTGCCTTCTGACTCGGGGTGCTCCCTCTTTAGCCGTGACAGCTCTGCCTGGTTCCAGGCATTGTGGTCACGGGTGAGGGGCAGACAAGACCACACGCCACTGTCCTCCTGGACACCAAGGACCGCCCGGCAGTCCCCAGCGTTTGCCACGTGCAAGTGCACTCCATCGACATGGGCCATGCAAGCCGTTGCCCCAGAGAAAGCAACCTGGAGTGAGAGGTTCCTGGTCACCTGGTCTTTCAGGGGGGCCTGGATTTCCAGTGAGATGTCCGAGTCCAGTCTCTGGAAGGAGTATGTTAGTGCTTCCTTGATGCTCAGCCCCATCTCCATGTGCACGTCAAGCAGCTCCTGCCAATAGACACGGAGGTGGTCTAGGTGCACTGATGTGACATCCTTGTAGATGCTGTCCCCTGGCTGCTTGTGCCACTGAAGGATGGGCAGCAGGGGCTTCATGCTCTCCAAAGCCCCCTCTATCTGCTCCAGGGTCTGACGGGACATCAGTGACACTGCCACATAGTAAAAGAGCCTCTCACTCACTGCTTGTGCGCACGCGTGGCCACCATGCCCATCAAAGATTCCAAACATGAGCCCGCCGGTCTGCAGGCAGGAGGCCACACCACAACGGTCCTCTACTGGGGAGTTAGCGGCCAGTTGGTTACTCTCAAACCGCAAAACTGAATTTGAGACTCTGCCGTTTATGTCAAGAATCTTGTGAGCTGACTCGCCAGCTCGCAGCACCTCATTCACCTGCTCGGGGCTCAGCTGCAGATGGAAATCGTCCTCTTCTGTAGACGTGTGTCTGTACACTTTCTGCAGAGCAATGCTGTCACAAAGGGAGCTCAGGGTGGCTGGCATCCGGGGAAAGAGCCTCCACTTTGACTTACTCCTATTTGAGGCAAATCTTGAGTATAAACGCCTACCCCCTTGTAATGTGGCAATGCTGTTCCAAGCAGATTTTAGGACCCAGGACACCGTACTTGACATTCTGAAACTACACCAGCAAACAATTTTCTTCAGCAAAAAGGATTTAAGAAACACACACACAAAAAAACCTAAAAAGGAAAAAAAAGAAAGTTTCAATTTTTTTTTTTTAAAGGCCTGACTAATGAAAATATTTAATCTCAAACAAGATATTTGATTTAAGGTCATCTATTTAAAAGCACAGACTATGCTTGAAATAATAAGCCTATAACTTGGAAGTAGGAGTGGCATCCACTTCCTAAACAGCATGCCTCTGGAAACTATGAATTTTGATAAATGTCGATAGTTATAGAACAGCTTCAGACCGTTTGTTCATAGGGTCCCTATGAGTCGTGCTCAACTTGACGGCAATCAACAAGAACAATCCTTGTAACACATCAACATATTTTAGACAATTTGGAAAACCCTCTCTGCTCTTAGAGTCACTGAGTGCTTCCCAAAAGAGCTCAACTGGCTCAGCTGCCTTTCATCACTGCCCCTAAACCCTTCCTGCCTGGACCTAGTATTTAACTCCCACATCCTCACTTTGCAGACTGTCAAGTGTTCATTTAAAAGTTGGCTTCCCCACCAGTGTATAAACTCAAGAATCAGGAATGCGGGGCTGCCTTACTCACCAGCAGCTCTCTCCTGCCCAGTCCTATGCCCTACACACAGTAGACCATAAAATACTGGCTTAATGAGGCATCTTTAGAGGTCCAACAGCATACTAAGTATAACACTAGCTCTCTAGCATCAGACAGACATGCTGCTTTGTTCGTCCAAGTTCCAGGATGGGAATCAGACTAGCCTCCTGAGGATTTATGAAGACTTACTAAAATATGACCTTTTGGGGGGGGTGGATAATGATTATTTGATGTGCATCCTTTATGTACAAGTTTTTTTTTTAGGATTTTTTTTTAGGATTCTAACCAGTTATCTTAAAAGAAGGGCCACCAGAAAGGTCCTTAGAAGGAAAGATGTTGAGACTGGTCTCACACACAATGAACACTCAGGCTGCCAGCCCTTGGCAAAAGTTTAGAAAGGTGGAGAGTCCCCTTCTCCAAGGAATAGCCCTGTCTAGTAACATGCCCGAAATATGTGAGGCAAAGCCTCCAAAGACCACTCCTGCACCACCCCCTCTAAGACATATCCATTTGTTCTCCTGGCCCTTCATGGGATGTTCAGTGCTCTTCAACACCACAGCTCAAAGGTATCAATTCTTCTTCTATCATCTTTATTCACTGTCCAGCTCTCACATGCACAGCAAGTGATTGGAGAGAACATAGGACTGAATCAGACTCACCTTAGTCTTCAAACTGACATCACTACTCTTCAATAATTTGGAGAGGTCCCTAACTGCAGATTTTCCCAGTGCAATATGTCTCCTTATCTGACTGACTTAATGCCTAACTGCTGGCACTAAGGGTGTTAATAATGGATCCACGTTAAAAAAAAAAAAAGGTGGGTCAGTGAGAGAAGGAGCCTCCGAAGGCAATGGATAAGGGCAGCAATGGCGCATCTGGCTTAATATCCCACAAGGTTTCAACCCACGGGACTGAGTTGGAGTTTCCTGCACCACATGGAATAATGACAATCACCACAGCTTTGATTCTGGTTTCTGTTTTGGATAATATGAAAAATGTCCCCATGTTAACATTTAATGGATGTGTAAAAATCCCATTTCAGCAGAAGCATCACCACTTACGTAACTATTCTCACTCCTGGGCCAGAGGAGTGCTGTTCCAATGGCTAGTAATTTCTAAAACTTCAAATTCCATCCCCTGCAGCAGCAACCTTTTGCCCTACTTGAATTTACCCTACTACTTTTCCAAACAAGGTCAAAGGGTTCTGTAGACTCAGGCTGCCAAACTGCTTTCCAAAAGGTTCAAGCGGCCTCCAAAAGCCAGAAGGGAACCAGTATCCAAGCATCATTACCAGCCTCGAGTGGTATTTTTCCTTAGAAAAAAAAAAAAGCTGCCCTATTATAATTAGCTTTTCTCGGTGACCTAGGAGGAGGAGCATTTCCCACGTGTTTTTGGATTTCGTTAATGAATCTCCTCGTCCATCTGCTTGAGCTCCCAGCACTGAGGAAGCCCCCGTGCTGTCCTCATTTCACCCGGCTGAACTTGGGGTAGGGCAAGGAGTGGGGTGGGCGCGGGGCCGCCCAGTGCCTGGCCGACAGTGGGCAGCGGTGCCTGACCCAAAGTTCTCTGCCGCAGCCCACATTCAAACAACGTCACGTCCTTGGGGAAAAAAATAAATAGTTCCCAAGTTCATGAATCTGACTGTAGCCTGGACGATAAGATCGCAAGGGCAGGTGTCCCTCTAACCCCCGGCGCGGCCAAGTGCAAACTGGTAACCGGCTCGGGAATCTCTGCGCCTCAGCTTTCCAGCCTGTAAAATGGGGAGACCCAGAGCAGAGGCCGAGCTTACAGGGGTGCTCGAGGGCTGGAGCTGCCACCCCGGTGCGGGGTCCGCGACGAAGTAGCCCCCGGGAATCGCCTCACCACGTGGCCCGTGCGCGCGAGTGGGGCGACCGCGGACCCGCCCCCTCGCCTCACCTAGCCTGAGCTCACTGCCCCGTCACCTGAGCGGGTCCCGCGGTCAGGGAGGCCAGGTGCGCGCGACGCCCGGCCTCGGAGGGGGTGTCGTGACCCCGTGTCTTCCCTTACCTATCTCGGACCACCGCCTTCCTTCCACCAGCTTGCGCCGCCACCAGTCTGTCCCGTCAACTCTGCGTCTGCGCACAGCCGCCGCCGTCTGCCGCCTTTCGGGCTGCACCTTCGCGTAGCAGCTCTTTGCTTGGACTCCGCTGGAGGAGGAAGCGTCCTCCTGCCGGCTTTTATTGGTCTAGCTTCGGAGGTGGGCCCTTAACGAACAGCTGTTCTGTCCAATCACTAAGTAGGAGAGACCAGGCAGAGGGGGCCGGGCTGGGAGGGGCCAAGTCCCGCCCTTTGGCTCGTAGGACTTGGAGCTGTAAATCAGTCACGTGGCTGGCCCTTCCCACGTGACCGCTCGCGCTCTGCTTTCCCCAAATTGAGCAAAAAAACAGGTAACTGCAATTCCAATTTGCTGTAAATTTCCCCTCACTGGTCCTTCTTATCCAGCTCTTTTGCTTTCTTCTCTACTTTTCTGCTTACCAGGGAAGCCTCTTTCTTAAGACTCCTTTCAACTACCTGGACTGTTTTCTGTACCTGAATCAAAACTTTCCCCTGAATTTATTTTTCTGTCAAACCTGTTGATCTTCACCTCCCTAAGCCAATGATAGTCTTATCCCAAACACTCAAGTGCAAAGCTGGAGAATTCGGAAACTCCCCCCCCCATCTAATCCTGCCAATCCTACCTCCTAAATATCTCTCCAACCCATTCATTCATTTCCAGTTGCTCCTCCATTCTAGCCCACGTCTCTAACCTGATTTCCTGCCCAACTTTGACTTGGTCCCAGTCTCTTTTCCTCACAAAGCAACCAGAATGACACTTAAAACTCTCACTTCTCTCAAGTATTCACGAACTCCTTCCTCGTGGACTTTGAACTGATAGTTACATTATTCTGGTCACTGATAGTTTTATCAGCATGATTAGTGGGTGGTTGGCTGGTTGAGAAAAGCAGAGAATCAGAGCACCAGATATTCCCTTAATTCCTATTGGCCCTGGAGGAATAATGTGACAGTTGCACCCAGGCCTGGTCCCTCCTTGAGAAACCTAACGTCTAAAGCAGCCAGATAAAAACCAGACCGGACAATGAAGTCTGTTAAGGCTCTGTCCTCCCCTTATCTGCCCAAAACCCGTATAAAAAGAGGCCACCCTTGACTGCCTGAGCGCCCTTTACCACCTGCGCGCCATTTTTACTCTATCTGCGTGTACTGTCCTTCTCAGACCATTGCAGGAAAAGCTTATTCATTTCTTGGGACCAGTTTCCTCCTTTCCCTCTCGCCCTTGACTCTTTGTAACAAGTCCTAACATTGTAGGATTCTGGTTTTTCCTTGTAGAATTCCTTCTACATTGTTGTTGTGTGTCGTCAAGTTGGAACTGACTCATAACTGACCCTCCAGCAGGTCTTCAGAGGCTGTAACTCACACGGGAGGAGATTACCCTTCCTTCTCCCGCAGAACAGCTGGTGGATTGGAGCTGCCTGTTCCTGTAGGGTTGCAGCACAGCTTCTTAACCACCAGGCCACCAGAGCCCCCTTCCTTATACATTAGACATCACCTAAGTGGTAGGTCAAATGGTTTTTTTTTCCCCTGGAGGCACATAGACTATAACCTTAAAAAACCACCCTGAGAATGTGGTCTTCTAGAAGGCAGGTGCATAGCTTACCTAAGGAGTTGGTCAGCCCTCCAGGACCCAACAACGTAAATGCCATAAAACTGCTCCAGTCAGACCTAACTCTGGTGTGATATTTATACTGCAGTTCACCCTTGTCCCTTTCCAGAAGTTCTGCGAATGAGTCAGGATTTATAACATCTGTCTCCTCGAATACTAATTAGGCTGTTTCACACCCAAGCTTAAAATAACTCCAAAGGATTCTAAATAAATGGGCAACAGAACTAGGAAACGAAATTTCTTGCACTGATAGTTTATTTTGGGTCACAGAATGGTTAGCTGTCAGGTCAAAGACAGCAGGATTTAGTTATGCAATCCTTTGTGGGGTTTTTTATAGGCCTTTGTGGGAGCATAAAATGTGTCAAGCACCAGGCCTTGGAGATATACAGATGGCAGCAGCCCCAGCCACTTTGCTAAAGGGGTGGGGGTGGGGGGGAATCACCTCACTTGGCTAAGTTTGAAGGCACAGAGCTTTCCTAAATTATCACATGCACTCCACTCTCAAAGTAAAAATGCACATTTGAGAATTTTATTTTAGAGCTTAGTCACCACATACGTGATGGCTAGAGCAAGTCCTCCTTCATAGCCCCTGGAACTTCCTTATCTAGAGACCTTATGAGGAACAAAAATACAAGAAAAGAATTAAGGGTGCATAGTGGAGTGTGCCTGGGGCGGTGCGAGGGGTGCAGGGGTATTGTATACCAAAGAAATACTTTTACTTTTTCAAAGAGAGG